TTATTGATCCGAATAAAAAAAAATCAAACTTATTATCTATTATAAAAAATTTGAGACAGCCAACCTTATCCTCAAAAATAACAACACACCAAGTAAATGAAAATTACAAAGAACGAACATTATCTATGAGTTCAAATGCCCCTTAAGGAACTGTATTCCTGATCAAACCGGACTCATAAATAATTACATCGGTTACACAACCACATGCTTATCCAGACGTCTTACGCTACACCCATCTGATCACAGCTAGAACCCATTTAAACACACACACAAATTTACCCGACTCCATTAGGAACATACTAGTAGAAAACACAAATATATTAACTGCATCCACCTGCAAAAAAAAAAGACTGGAAGAATGGAAGCTTTAATAATAAAAAAGAAAAAGCCAACTCTTAACAATATTAACTACGAACAAAGCCACAATGTGCTAACCGTATTCGGAAATTAAAAACATCCCTACTACACACTAAGACATACACAGAACGCACACACTCAATTAAGCTGATAATCGAATCATCCTTGATAATGGCTAAAGGTATAGCCGAAAGCGCTCGAAATATAAAACATTTGGACAGTTGTTACACACACTTTGTCCAGAAAAGAAAGCTCTTGTCAGAACACAAGAAAAAATTAAATAAAAAGCTCAACCGTAGTACCTTGTCTGTCGTTTTAATGAAACATGCATATATATATATATATATATATATATATATATATATATATATATATATATATATGTTTCATTAAATAATATAGACAAGTGTTGTCTATTTATTTTATGTAAATTCTGATAAGCTTAATAACATTATCATTTAATAATCTACATGTAGTTTTATTTAAAATAATTATCTTTATAGTCTTTTAGTTTAATAAATGGTTTGTAGTTTTTATTCTACTATCTAATTCTAATGATTTTTGCTATAATTTTTTTTTATTCTTTGTTATATTCTGATTTCTTGTTAGTAGTTTTAGAAAATCTATGTACCTCTTTTTCGATTAATTTATTAAAATGAATAGGATCCATTTTATATATTCTTCTTGATTTATTTGTTTCAATAAATAGGTTATTTGAATTATTTATTACTTTAATGTCGTTAAATAATTGTTTTTAGAATTTATTATTGCTTTATTTCTATTTTATTTACAATATTTATTAAATCATATTCAGACTCAATCAGTTCTTTTTGTTGTGATGGGCATTTTGTTGAGGAAATTTCCAAATTGTTTTTGTGATTAGAGTTACTATTATTGTTAAGAAAGTAAAATACTTTCCACCATAATCTTTTTATAAAATTTTCTATTTTCTCAATGAGTTTAATTTTATATTCCTTTATATTTACTGTAGGAATATTTCTTGTAGAATATTCCAATAGCGTAGGTTCCATAGTTTTTTGGAGAATATGAAAAGTCAATAATCCGTAAAATGTTCAAGTTGGAACAGTTTTTCTTGGAGCTTATTGGTAAGAATTAATTTTTAAAAAATGGAACTCGAGCAGATCCGTTTGTTACGCTTTATTATATTCTAAATATTGAACACTTTTAAAAAATTTCGTTTTTTTTTTTTAATTAATCCTTACATATATATATATATATATGTATATATATATATATATATATATATTTGGTTGGATAGATGTGAGTTTGTGCGCATGTAATATATAAACAATTATATATATATATTTATTTATTTATATTTATATACACACACTTTTCACACACACACACACACACACACACACACACATATATATATATATATATATATATATATATATATATATATATATATATATATAAGAATGTAAGATATATAATCCAGTGTTCTTATTGATATTTTTTATTTTATTTTCACAAAACAGTGCTCAATGGAAATTTACAGAGTAAAAATATTATAAATTAACTGATTTAAAATATGTTTTTTTCGAAACTAATGCTTCTAATTTGATTATATAATTATATTTAAAGTTTTTACCTTCCATTTTTGAAACATGGTTATTACTGTGTAGCGAAAAAATCATATGTTAAATCCGTTAATTTATAATATATATATATATATATATATATATATATATATAGAGAGAGAGAGAGAGAAAGTGAGAGAAAGAGAGAGAGGTGGAGAAAGAGAAAAAATAGAAAAAAGACAGTAGAAAAATTGACGAGTGAAGATAGAAAAAATTGAGGAAGAGAAAGATTGAAAGAAAATAGAAAAACGGAGAATACAGAAAAAATGTTAAAAGGAAAGATAGACAGATTGAAGTGAGAGAAACTGAGAAAGAAAGGGAAACGTGACAGAGAGAGAAAGAGGCGGGGGGAGAAAGAGAGAGATACGGAAAAAACGTACGAAAGAAAAAAAAGAACACCTGATGATTGTTGGAAACTAAAAAAAAAAAAAATGGCTGTTCAAGGTACGTCGAATGCCGTACCTTGAACGATCAACGTTTCTCCTAAACTGGCATTGGTACGATAGCTCTAAGGGGGGACGGCCCGCGTGGGGGAAAGGGAGTAGGTCAACTTATGGCTGAGTGGGGGTAGATCAGTTCAGAAATAGGTAAATAAAAGATATCGCATTGAATCGTTAAAAAAAAATCTCTTCTTTCTGTGTTTTTAATTACTCCGCTGTGTCTGCATTTCTCCTTGCACATGTCAATTAAATATCTACTGCCTCTCTTTCGCAATGTGAAGAGAAATTACTGTCCCTTTTGGCATATTTCTCGAATATTAAGGTTAGTAGACGAAAATAAAGACACTGTTTAATAGATAAGCGGAACGTTTACTCAAATATGGGTATCCACTAAAAATAACGTTTAAGTAACATAATCTGTCGGATTAATAAATAAAAAAATCAAAACTTCTTTAGAAATTGCTTTGTTTACGTTAAAATACGAAACTGAGCAGATATAAATATGTCGAGAGTCTGAGAAAGATTTGTGTTGATAAGGCAATATTCAACTTTGCTTGAACGGTGACGAAAGCACGTCGGATCTAAAGGCGGTGTCTACTGTCAAAGGGTCGCAGGTTTGAATCTTGCCAGAGACTGCATCAGATTTCTTGAAAATTCAAGCCGGTAGAGAAAAATAAATAAATATAATGTTATGTTTAAGAAATAAACAGAGCGTCTACTCAAATATGGGCACCCACTAAAAATAACGTTATAAATTATATATATATATAATGAAATGGACAAAGTACGACAATTATTTTAAGACATTTTTATGTTTATACATTCTTTTTATATACAAATATTTAAGTAAATGCTCTGTTTATAATAAACAGTATTAAACAACATTTACCGGCCTGAATGTTCGAGAAATTTTTCTCAGAAAATATCCGCCTCTGCCAGGATTCGAACCTATATTCTATACGGAAAAGTCATTTAGCTTGACGTGCCTTTTACCCGATTTGGCCACAGTGGAGCGTTCTGTTAGCACGGTCGAATTTACTATTTTCTGTGAAAAATCTGTAGATAGATAGATAGATAGATAGATAGATAGATAGATATAAAAAGAGCAAGATAGAATATATAGAGAGATCGATAGAGAGATATGAAGAGGCCAAGATAGATAGATAGATAGATAGATAGATAGGAGAGAGAAAGAGTCAGCGTGAACAGGTTGAGTTCGATAGGTCGGAACATAATTTTCTTTTTCTTCTTTTGAAGCTTGACATTCTTGTTTGCTCTTTGTTCCGACCTATCTAAACTCAGCCTGTTCACGCTGACACTTTCTCTCTCCTGTCTATCTATCTATCTATCTATCTATCTATCTATCTATCTATCTATCTTGGCCTCTTCATATCTCTCTATCGATCTCTCTCTCTCTTTTTCTCTCTCTCTCTCTCTCTCTCTCTCCCCTGCCTATCTATCTTGGTCTTTTATGTATTTATCTATTTATCGTTTTCTTCATCTACCTATCTATCTATCCTGATCTCTTCATATCTATCTATCTATCTATCTATATATATATATATATATATATATATATATATATATATATATATATCTGTCGGTCTCTTCATATGTATGCATTTTTGTTTGTCAGATGATCGCAAAAGCGTGAAACCCAGCGTCACAAAGTCATATCCATACAACTTATATATATATATATATATATATATATATATATATATATATATATATAAAATTCGCGTTAAAAAAATAACTACAGACAAAAGTTCATTTTCTCCATCAATACATTCATTTCTGTGGTTCACTGCTACCAGCAAGCAGAAAATTTATTTTTCTCCTGATGATGGCCATGTTGGCCGAAACTAGTCGAGGAATCTAAATGAAATAATAAAAAAAACGAAGGAATATTAATATACAGTGTGTCTGAAGATTTTAATCTTTTAATATTTTTTATCGTTCAAAATTAATTAATTTTTTAATATTTTTTATTGTTCAATATATATATATATATATATATATATATATATATATATATATATATATATATAACTGCTGTATGGTCGAGAGGAGAATCTAAGGCAATAACAGTTGGCGTATGTGGATGGTGATCGGTCGAAAAGAACCTGTCACTGCTCCTTTGACAAGACCCACCTCCTCGTATACCCGTTCTCTTTACTCCCGGCTTTAATTCCCTACGACCCCATCTCCCAACCCACAGCGGTGATCCTACAATCGCTATCGATTGACACCCGTCTGTCAAGTGGAGACCTGTTGACAGAGGGTCAGTGACTGGCCGGTCGAAAGTGGATGGCCAACTTTCGACCAACACGGTTATCAAGGCAAACGCTAATATGTGTTGTGTACACAGTCTACAAACAGACACTTGACGCACACTCGCTACTCCAAGAACATTACACCTTCACAGCCGACACCGGCCTATTTCCCTGTGATGCTGGTGGGGGGGGGTTCAAGAGGGCGGAAAGTCAAGTTTTCGAACAAAACAGGCAAAACCTAATAATTTTTAAAGATATATATAATCTTTGCAAATTAATTTTCATTCATTTGACAATTGGTTGACGAGATTTGAACAGAGTCAGAAATAGAAAGAAAGAAAGAAAGAAAGAAAGAAAGAAAGAAAGAAAGAAAGAAAGAAAGAAAGAAAGAAAGAAATAAAGGCTAGGAAAGACATGGAGTCGGTTAGAAAGAAAGAAAGAAAGAAAGAAAGAAAGAAAGAAAGAAAGAAAGAAAGAAAGAAAGAAAGAAATAGGCTCACAGACAAAGAGAATCGGACAGATAGATAGAAACAAACTGAGAAAGAAAGAAAGAAAGAAAGAAAGAAAGAAAGAAAGAAAGAAAGAAAGAAAGAAAGAAAGAAAGTGAGAGAGAAGAAATAAAGGCTAGGAAAGACATGGAGTCGGTTAGAAAGAAAGAAAAGAAAAGAAAGAAAGAAAGAAAGAAAAGAAAGAAAGAAAGAAAGAAAGAAAGGAGAGAGAAGAAATAAAGGCTAGGAAAGACATGGAGTCGGTTAGAAAGAAAGAAAGAAAGAAAGAAAAGTGAGAGAGAAGAAATAAAGGCTAGGAAAGACATGGAGTCGGTTAGAAAGAAAGAAAGAAAGAAAGAAAGAAAGAAAGAAAGAAAGAAATAGGCTCACAGACAAAGAGAATCGGACAGATAGATAGAAACAAACTGAGAAAGAAAGAAAGAAAGAAAGAAAGAAAGAAAGAAAGAAAGAAAGAAAGAAAGAAACAAGAAATAGACTGAGATAGACATGAATGAAGAAAGAAAGAAAGAAAGAAAGAAAGAAAGAAAATGAAATGAAATAGGCTCACAGACAAATAGAATCGGACTGATAGATCGATAGAAACAAACTGAGAAAGAAAGAAAGAAAGAAAGAAAGAAAGAAATAGGCTAACAGACAAAGAGAATCGGACAGATAGATAGAAACAAACTGAGATAGATAGATAGAAAGAAAGAAAGAAAGAAACAAGAAATAGACTGAGATAGACATGACAATAGACTGAGATAGACATGAAGAGAGAAAGAAAGAAAGAAAGAAAGAAAGAAAATGAAATAGGCTAACAGACAAATAGAATAGGACTTATAGATAGATAGATAGATAGATAGATAGATAGAAAGAAAGAAAGAAAGAAAGAAAGAAAGAAACAGTAAATATGATGATACCAGCCAAAAGAAATGGCGGAACAATGACAACACTTTTGCCATTACAAACATAATGATAGCAACAGCAAAAACAAAGATACTCGCTGAGATTGTATTGGGCGTATATAGAGAACAAACTGGTTCAAATTTTTTTAAAAAAGGTATCATGTCATAAATATCACTGAATCATTTCTCTTTCGGTGGGGTTCACAACAGGGCCGAGAGCATCCACAGCAAAAGAGGATCCCTCGTTGAATATGGCCAACCTTCCGATTGGATACTTGTAGACTCAAGTATAAACTTGCATATAACTATCTTTTGGCCCAAGTATAAACTAGCTTGTGGCTATCTTTGGACTTAAGTGCAAACCAGACTTATGTCTGTTTATTTATTAATACATTGTGACTATAAATATAAAGACTTGTGAAAATCTTTGTTTTCCTATTTGAGTTTTCTGATGAATCTTAATTCTTAAGTTAATGATTGAATAAGCTGATGGTGAGTTCTGCGTCAATAAATTCCCCTATCGCATCATTAAATATTTGAGCTTAACAACTGTAACAAAATATTGCAATGACAATGATGAATATTAATTCTGGTTGTTATTTTAAGAAGTGGGTACAAATGAAAAGATTTGAAATTGGTGACTTTTTTCCGTGTCAATGAAACAGCCGTGAAATACTTCTATCTTCCTTCCTTTCTTTCTTTCTTTCTTTCTTTCTTTCTTTCACTAGAATCAAGTTTCCACTAGGTGAAAATCGAATAGTCTATTATTTATGAGGTATTGGAAACAATTGTTAAATACTTCTTTCTTTCTTTCTTTTCTTTTTCTTTTCTTTCTTTTCTTTTCTTTCTTTTTTTTTCTTTTCTTTCTTTTTCATTTTATATTTTCTTTCCTTATTTTCTTGCATTTTCTTCTTTCTTTCTTTCTTTCTTTCTTTCTTTCTTTCTTTCTTTCTTTCTTTCTTTCTTTCTTTTTCTCACTAGAATCACGTTACCACTAGGTGAAAATCGAATAGTCCATTATTTATGAGGTATTGGAAGCAGTTGTTAAATACTTCTTTCTTTCTTTCTTTCTTTCTTTCTTTCTTTCTTTCTTTGCATCCATATTTTTATTCGTTTTTCTTTCTTTCCTTCTTTCTTGCCAAATCCGCGTCTGAGGAACATTTCGCTTAATTATATTAAAATAATTCAGTAGGCGATGTTATTTTATTTATAATAACTGGATTTTAGGCGATAGCCTTACTCGGTTTTTTGTCCTTCGATGCTATGTGTCTGAAAAATGCTGCTTTTATTCCGATCGCCACCGCTTCTCGTCATTTTGGCTGGAATCAAAGTGTAGTATCTGTTCTTATCATCTTAATCCGATTATATATATATATATCTCCCCACTTCTATCTTCCCTTCTTTCTTTTTTTTTATTTTCTCACTGAAATCAAGTAATGTCAAAGCGATCAAAACAGAATAGTCCTTTATTTATGAGGAATTGACAAGGCTTAACGGTCATGCGAACTAACAAAAAGAAGGACAAGCACAATTAATATGTAATAATAATAATAATAATAATAATAATAATAATAATGAAAGTTTTAAGGATAATAATAATACTGGAAAATCTGCAACTTCTACGGGAAGGAAACTGAAAGAAACTGGTATAAACACCACCCAGACCCGGTTACGGAGATAGGACCTGTTACAATTCTATGAGACTACACAATACACACTGACAGAACAATTAAGGCCAACCGGCCAGATATTGTTATTAAAGACCAAAAACAAAAACGGTGCCTCCTTATTGATATGGCAGTCCCTGCTGACTGCAATGTATCTTTGAAGATATTCAAAAAGTTGTCAAAGTACAAGGACCTTGAAATAGAAATCTCGAAAATGTGGCATATGGGAACATCAACAATCCCTGTTGTAGTTGGAGCCCTAGGACTGGTTGGAAAAAGATTGCAGTAGACTAATTGAAGGGATCCCTGGAAGTCCATGCCTCAAGGAGATACAAAAATTGTTCTGACAAGTACAGCCCACACCCTACGAAGGGCTTTATCTATGTAATTTAATTTTTTTTTTTTTTTTTTGGTCAGTGGAAAGTGTCATGACGCCATTTCTAACCTTAGGTCCCTGGGCGAGACCCGGAAAGAAATGTGTAAACGCCAGAAATCAAAGAAAATAATAATAATAATAATAATAATAATAATAATTGAGTATTTTTTATTACAATGATGCTCAATGCGTACAAGGGCTAAGAGCCACTCGTGGTATAGGGTTTCAGATTAAGAGAGAGTTTATGCGGATACGTGGGGAAGAAATAGGTTAACCCTACACTTAAAAATGTAGTGATCAGGAAGCGTTTTCTTGGGAGTCGGTTCCACAAAGAAGCAGTTCGTAAGGTGAAGCTGCTGGAGTAGTACTTACATCTCACCAATGGAATACGAAGGTGGTTCACTGCAAGATATCTGGGATGAGGGGTCCCATCGGCGAAGGTCAGAACTGGTGAAACTAAGAAATGTAGCTCGTTTGAACACCTTCCATAGAAATAATCATGGAGCAGCGGCAGGCTTGCGATGTTTTGTCCATCACCCACAAGGACACCGAGATGCCTTTGAACTTAGAAACGGGTTCTTAAGGAATGTGTTCATTGCTTGATTTGTTTTTTGTTTTTTTTACGGTTTATCATCTCCTTGTGCGTAATTTAAAGCCGAAGTATTTTGGGGACTGTAATTTTTTTGAGTAAATTAACAGTATTTTTGAAGATAACCAAATTATACTATTTAACCCATAACTGGGGGATAAAGAGATAGATTCATATCTCATGAGCATTTGCACGTAATTGACTCTTGAAAAAAAATCGGTGTGATCTGGGCAGTCGGAAAACTGGCTTTAAGAACAAATTTCATCAAGTATTCTATTGACAGAACAGCTGATTTGACTTTGTGCAGGTTGTGTAGGAAAGCTGCAAAAAGAGTGCTGGTGGCGCTATGATAAAGTAGCAATCAGAATAATTTGGAAATTATACGGGAAAGATGGCCCTCAGTGTCCCAGAGAATTGGTACGAGCATTCATTTCTGCTAGGAGCCGACAAAGACCAAGTGAAGCTCATGTGAGATACGACTATCTTGACTAACAAGCGCTTGGAGAGCAATCGCCCTGAATAAGAGAAATATACGGCAGCTCAAGTAAGTCCCTTAAGTAGGAAAAAGCACACCAACAAAATGATGCTGGCTTACAAATATGCAAAGCCCAATATACGCATCACAACACCCAATCTAATAAGTGTATACAAGGTACATGCATTACCGCTAAATTATTTTATTTCCTTTGATTTCTGGTGGGTACTCATTTCTTTCCGGGTCCCGAATACAGACCTAAGGTGGGAAATGGTGTCACGAAATTTTCCACTGAGCAATTTTGAAAAAAAATGACACGTATTTTACATAGATAAAGCTCTTCGCAAGGTTTGGGCTGTACTTGTGAAAACAATATTTATGTATTTCTTTAAGGCATTGATTACCAGGAATCCCTTCAACTATTGGAATCTTTTCCAATCAATCTGAAGGATCCCAAGTAGAACCAGAATTTTTGATTACACATTTTTAATATTTCGATATCAAGGTCCTTGCATTTTGATAGTTTTTTGAACATCTTCAAAGATCTCTCCCCTAACCTTCCCTTCATCCTTTCCTCTATCACTCCTCTTCGTTCTCGCTCCTATTCTGAAACCCTTTTGGCTTCCTGACTTGCTTGGGGTTGAATGCTTAAAAAAAATACATTGCAATCTGAAGGGACTGCCATATCAATAAGGAGATTTTTTTTTTGGTCTCTAATAACAATGTCTAGGCGGTTAGCTTTGATTGTTCCGTCTGTGTTTGTTGTGTAGTCCCATAAACTTGTGACAGGTCCTATCTCTGTAACAGGGTCTGTGCGGTGTTCAAACCCATTTCTTGCTGTTTCCTTTCCGTAAAAGATTTTCCAGTGCAGATATTGACCCACTCTGTCATGCAGTGTTTTATATTCAGTGGGCGCCAATACCGTGCAACCATATTCAAGATGATCAATTGTTTCTGGATATTTATCAAAGAATCTGCATTTTGGGCTAACACAATATTTCAGTATGTGTGCTTGATAATTTCTTATTAACAAGCATTGGTCCTGTGCAGTAAGATTAAAACCTTCAGTTTCAGCTTTTAACGCTGCACTACGTAGAAATTATGGGGTTTGTCTACATCATCTTGTTTGGCACGGGCAGAGTGTTGACCATGAAGCGGTTCATCTTGCCATCTTTTCTATATCTGGTCGATTAAATTTACCTTTGCTTGCTTTTTTTTAAAGTGTTTTGCAGATTCAGTCGGTGCATTGTATTTTACTAGTATTTCTTCACCTGTTTGAAACTCCATATTATTATTATTGTTATTATTATTTTATTTCCTTTGATTTCCAACGTATACTTGTTTCTTTCCGGGTCCCAACCAGTGACCTAATGTCAGAATAATATCATAACACTTTCCACACCTAACGAGTTTGCTAGAATTACTAGTAGAATAGGGAGTAGGAGAAATATCAAGGATGCTGGGTAAAGTGATGACGGTTTAGGGATATTTGACCTCAGTTCAGTGGTGGATTTACTATGAAATTAATAACGCTTAATCTTCAAAGCCCGTAATCTCAGAGGGGCCCTGAAGCAGTTTTTTTTCCTTTTTTTATGGGCGAAAGTTTTAAAAATAAGGCTGTTTTAATCGTAGAATCATATGCCAAAGTTTGGAAGTAGCTAATGTTGTCCTTAGAGAATCTGATCTAATACCCATTTCATAATAGCCTCAGCACACCCCTGTAATTGGTCAAATTTAAACCTTTTTCTTGGGGGCTGGCAGTGTTCGAATGTCGACCAGAATGGACTCGTTGAGTTCGTCAAAATCTCTTCAAAGCTTATATTTAGGCAATTGGATCCTCGAATCTATTATTGCGAAGGAAACAGAGTATCTGTTCAAGCTTCAAGGCCCTAAATATGTAAGTCCGCCTATGACTCAGTCAGTCGCCAGAGAAAACTTCGTTTTCTTGTGAGCAACTTTTTTTTACTTACGTTTTTTTTACTTATATCTTTATTGGAACATTTTATCTATTTTTAAAACTTTAATATCATTTATTTATTGTTATTTATTTAAATCAATCTCAATTTCTTCGACTCTCTCTCTTTCCTTTTTTTCCGCGCCAAGATCTCTTTCTCTCCATTTTTCCGCGCCAAGTTCTATCTCCCCTCTCTCTCTCTCTCTCTCTCTCTCTCTCTCTCTCTCTCTCTCTCTCACTCACTCTCTCTTTACTTTTTACGCGCCAAGTTTCTTCAAAGATCGATGAAAACGCAGAACGCTCCAGCCGGGGAGCCTTTGCATATAATTGAGCAATATTTTGGCAAGAAAATGCCAAAATATCCTAATGAACTTATTGGCTTAACGTGTCAAAACTCCAATCGCGAGAAAAATAAATAAAACCTCTCCTACTTTCTCAGTACAATATAATCAAATGGGATTATCGTTAGCGGGAAATAACTACAATAAAGCCGCATATTAACGTCCGCACCGCCTACTTAGGCGAAGACAGTTGACACACGCCCATAGATTTACGCATTCCGCTCCAACATATCTCATTTATCTTTTCCTACGTGCCATGTCCCTTTAGGACATGGAAGGTCATGGCTCTCCACAATTTCCTATCCTTTATAACTCTTATTAAATATTTGCTATTTCTCCTCGTCCCTATTCTTCCAACAATCCCTGCAAGCTCGTTAGGTATGTTATTCGTTGCCATCCTCCGTCCTCTCTTGACTTCAGTATGTCACGGGAGTGTCAAATTCTCCTAGCCCTCTTTCCTCATTAGGTGTCCGAGAAATTTCAACCTTTTCTTACTAATTCGATGTATGTGCGTCATATTTGTTTCCATTTTCTCTAAAACTTGATCACTTGTTTAGGTCATGGTATTCTCAGCATCCTTCTGTAGAATCCTATTTCTGTTGCCTCAAGTCTCTTCTTCATCTGTGAGGAGATCGTCCGGCATTCACTGTCGTGTAGAAGGACTGATCAGATTAATAGTTCAGTACTATTTTCCTTTTGTTTTGTAACGACATTTTCCGGTTTCTTTATACTTAGCTTAGTTTCTTGGAAGGCATCTTTCGTACGCCTACAGTAAATATTATATCTGTATTGATATTTTCAATAAAAAAAAACTTAACAAAAACGAACCCGACTGGAATTGGAACTCAGTTTTCCGATTTCCAATTCTGAGCCGTTATTCATTACACTACTCGCAAATCCAACCTTACAGCACTGGGAATATCCAAGCGGTCACTCCTCCAAGTACTGATCAGGTTCGACGTTGCTTAACTTCGGTGATCTATGAGAACCGGTCTTTCAACATGATATGACCGTAAGTCCATTATACTAGCAGCACACCCAAGCTTACAGTACATTATATTCCAAAGTGATCAACCATCAAGGTACTAGCCATACTCGACGTTGCTTAACTTCGATGAAGCGATGTTTCAACGTGGTATACTCGTAAGACTTAATTTGTTTACGTTTCGGCTGCGAGTATGAAGCTTACACTTATCGATTCGAAGACGTTCCGACGAGATTTATTCTCTATGTAGGTAACTGAGTCTTGCTTCAGCATGACAGTCTGCCATGGATAGATTGGTAAAGGATATAGGAGCGAATTTCATTGATGAATAAATGGGACACAGGTTCAAATCCTGTCAGGAAACCATTTGTTCTTTCGTAGTTTAGGGCCATGAATGTTTGAAGTCCAAATTTCGTCGAGAGATTTTTCATCATATCTGTCTTGGCTACTTCAACATCATCCCCCCTTCTACCTCTCTGTGGTTGGTTGGAACTCGATTGACAATCCCTTTCCACACTGTTCGGTCCTCAATTGCTGTGACCAGATCCCTGTTGTTCAACCCTGAGTCCCGAGACATGGTGTCTGAGCAAGTCAACTTTCGCGAGAAGACACCACCAGAAAGATGCCATAAAAGTAAAGAGGAAACGATTTCCCTGTCCGCTCGGTGGTAGTGAAGACGAAGAGGGGCAAAGAGGAGAGCTCAGTGGTAGTGGCCGGCAAACTGCAATCGTTTTTTGTTTTTGTTTTTTGTTCTTTTTAGCTTAAGAGGGATTGGTCTTAGTTCTTCGAGTTGGCTACTAACTTTAAAGGCCATCGAAACGAATAAAAGTTGTGGACAAGAACAAAAGGACGATGAAGAAAAGTATAGCCCGAAAATGAACAAAGAAACAGCTTCATTCATCGCAGATTTCATGAGATTTTTTTCTGTCTGTACCGGAGATCAGTAAGTGATTACACGACCAGCCAGATTCTTTTATTTCCCGCAGTAGGTTGCCATTTCTTTCCGAGGTAGACCAGTTGTCATCCACGGCTATAGAACCCGGACTGTCCTGTTATTAATTTAAATCAATCTCAATTTCTTCGACTCTCTCTCTCTCACTCTCTCTCTCTCTCTCCTTTTTTCCCGCGCCAAGATCTCTTTCTCTCCATTTTTCCGCGCCAAGTTCTATCTCTCCCTCTCTCCCCCTCTCTTTTCCGCGCCAAGTTCTCCCTACCAAGTTCTCTCTCTCTCCTTTTTTCTGTTCCAAGCTCTCTCTCTCTCTTTACTTTTTCCGCGCCAAGTTTCTTCAAAGATCGATGAAAACGCAGAAGGCTCCAGCCGGGGAGCCTTTGCATATAATTGAGCAATATTTTGGCAAGAAAATGCCAAAATATCCTAGTGAACTTATAGCTGGGATATCAAAAAGCGTATTAACACGTAAGTGAATGTAAAGGAATTCGACTGGAATTCGAACTCCGAATCCTCAATCCGAGCCGCTATCATTACTCCCCCGTGCCTCCTCAAATCAGTAGCCATTCATTCCGTCGCGTTTGTTTTCACCAACTGTGAGCGCGCAGACATTTAACCGTGTGTGTTCGTCCGTTAAAATGACAAGTCAATAACGACGGACTTTGTTTATTCTGAGAAGAAGTCGGCAGCAGCCGCAGCAGCAGCTGGCACCTGCAGCAAGAAGAAATCCCACCTGTACTTACATTGTTACATCCCCCGACTTGATAGCCCAACTTTACGGTGCCCTCCTCTTTGCCCCGCTGCGTCTCCATTTATAAACGCAATGTCCAGCTTCATCTAACAGTTATTTTTTTTTATTTTATTTTAGTTGTTATATATTTAACTAAGCCGTTTGACATAAGGCGACGTCTAAGGAGCACCCAGTCAAACGCAAAAAAAACCCAACAACAACGGAAAATATGACGAAGAAATCCAAAGGACCATTCGAATAACAAAAGTTACCTTCCAAAATCGAAATACATTATTAAGAAAGAGAAAATTTCGGCAAACATGGATAGACGTGTCAGCAATAAGACTCAGTGTCAAAAGGACGCTATTTCCAATGATACCGTTTTTGAATTACATTCTCTTTTCGCCAATCCTTTTAAAAGGCGATGATTAAAATTGGAATAAAACCTATGATAAAAGTTTGATCTTCAAAAAATTTAAATGCAATGTCAATCGTTATCTACTGTCCTCTTGATTACTCTTCTATTGTTCTCGCTCCTTAATGATGTTTCTCTTTTTTTTTTCTTATTCTTTGCCACACAAATAACCCCCTTTATGTCTTAGTGGCTTTACTGTCTTCTTTAGGGTGAAATGATTAAAAACAAAAACTGGGACCCTAACTGGAGCTATCACCCCGGGTCAGAGTGGACCGAGAAACAAACAGCAATTAAGAGCTAGATGCACCCTTCTCAAAACCTCCAATCTCCCTATCAGAGGTTTAAACTTGGAGAAACGTGTCTGCAACGGAAAATGAAACGAGTAACTCAGAGGGACCATTCCAATAACGGAAGGTACCTTCCCAAAGCGAAATATAGTATTAGGAAAGATAAAAATTTAGCAAACATGATTAAACGTGCCCACAAAAGTACGCAATGTCAAAAGGAGGTTTTTTTCCCATTATACCGCTTTTTGAATTACCTTCTTTCTTCGCCAGTGTTTATTGTTTTAAAAAGCGATTATTAGAATTGGAATAAAACTTAAACATATGATGAAAGTGAATTTATACATTTTTTCGGTTCTTGAGCATTTGCAACTAACAATATTAAACAATATTTATTTATCAGATTGTTTATTTAAAAGAATATTTTCATATTTACAAATAAAAAACTAATACAATTAGAATTAGAACAGTACGATATTTATCATTTACCAATTTACAAAAAAATAAATAAAAAAAATATTTTATTCATAAATTTATAAACATTTACTAAATTATTAAAATATGTGAAGCAATTATAAGGAAATCCTTATTATTTACCATTTTATAAAGTTTGAATCTATTGGCAATTAACCAATGTTTTGCCAACCATTCCAATAAACAATCTAAAAAATAATTAATATAAATAAACAATCTAATAAAGAAATAATGTTTATTATTTTTGTTTGTAAATTCTCAGGAACAAAGAAAATGTATAAATTCACTTTCATACGTTTAGGATTTATAACAATTCTAATCATCGCTTAAAAAGAAAAAAAAAGATTCAGTGATATCTCGCCTTAAGTCGTTTCGAGTTAAATCATTTTCGAAGATACGTCGGTTCTTCTCAAATATTAGATGGAAAAATAAAACTCGCCTTACGTCGTTTTACTCGAGTTTACATCGGCCATTAAGAATATTAGAAACGTCAAAACATTAAAATAATAATAAACACATCTAAAATCATATTTAAATAAATTTTAAAATATTATGTATACTATATATATATATATATATATATATATATATATATATATGAAAAAATATACGGAAAAAAACAAACAAAATCCTTATATACAATTATAAAAGTTTTAATGTTAATATGTCAACGTCGGACGTTTCGGTCTAATAAACCATCTTCAGGACATATTCATAAAATATAATTAACATTATCAATTCAACATTATAATGTTAATTATATTTATATATATATGAATATTATATATATATTTTATATTTTATGAATATGTCCTGAAGATGGTTTATTAGACCGAAACGTCCGACGTTGACATATTAACATTAAAAGAGCATAATTGTATATAATCTGGAGACTGCATATAATACCCGTTGATGACGGCTTGAAGAGAAATAATAAAAAACAAACGTGAACGATCACGGTGGGGGGATATTAAATCGATGCAATTCACTATGACGCTTCTAATCTTGCTTTAGGTAGACTCAAATTCGAAAAACATTTAACAACTCCACCTGAGCTGGCGGGGAATAACACGGATTCCTCCTTCCTTTCTGGTTCACTGAAGTAAGCATACAGCACGTGCTAGTACAATTTGATACGGCGAGAACATTCTAAAAGTATCGATAATCGCTTAGTCATTCTTTACAGAAATTCGAGAGTACACCAGTCGCTTACAGAATTCTATTTAGAAAAATACTTTCTTCAGGTTTATTGACTGATAAAAAATTACATAGTTAAACTTAAAATCCGTAGACGAATTTAAAAAAAACAAAAAAAAACGTAAAAGCAAACCCATGTCACACTATAAATATTCATTTTTCAAAAATATTCCTTGGCAATGAACTTAAGTCTCTGGTGAATACAGAATCAAAACATAGTTTTAAAAAAAATGTACATCTAAATCAGATAATAAATCCACGTCAGGTTGCGGACAAAATTTCAAGCATCAAAATATTTTTTATTGCAGCCGAGCTCTACGAAACCGTTTTACACATTACCTCACTTATACAATACGTATATCCAGTGTGATAGGTCCAGATCTGGTATCTCGACTCCAGTCAATTTCTCGCAGACGTGATGTGGCTTCCCTCTGACATTTCTAGAAATATTTTCATGGCAACTGCACTAATGAGTTATTTTAACTGGTGCCCCAACTGCATGAACTGAAGCGTACTGCTAGGTTGGCATCTCGGTCTCACCATTCCACTGTTAAATATAATCTCCTCTTCTACTCCAACGGCTTCTTATCTTGCACTTCTCGTCAGTGGAACTTCCTTTGCTTCCCTGATAAGTATAATCTTGAAATATTCAAATGTAATGTCAATCGTCATCTTCTGAAGCCTTGATCTTGATCCCCGTCCTTCTCTTTACTCTTTCCTCAAAAAATCTCTTTGCTCTTATTTTCATTCTCTGTAACGATTTGCGAGCTAGTTGCACTCGCGCCTTATATGCTGAGATAGGAATCAATACGACATGGTAAAGGCCAGTTTCTCGTCCTATGCATAAATATATCAGGCTCGTTCAATTTTCACATATCAGAAATATGAGCAAAAATAAATTGTGAGAAGGTTTCATAGGGTTCTAGAAGTTTCCAGAAAGTTCTAGAAGGCTCCAAGTAGTCAGAATACAATTTTAGAAGTTTTGTGTTGGGGTATTTTTTTTAAAAAAGTTAACTGAATTAAACCATTCTTCATTATTTTTTAGCAAATGTTCATCGAATTCTGATATAGGAAATCAATTATTTTACAAAATGTCATAACTGTAACATATATATATATATATATATATATATATATATATATATATATAGCCTTCTAGACTCGATGAATTACTTAATTATAATTATCTGAAATCCTCCTAATAATTTCTATCAGTGTATATCCTTCCTTGAATCGGCTTCTAATACTCTGGGATGGAGCGGTTTGGGCATAGAAGTCGTGCCTCGTGGGGGCACAGTCCTATGGGTTAGGGAAACTCGAATGAGATCCACCACGGAATATGTGATCGAGCGGCGCTATATCGAGTCTAATTCGTTAACTCTTTGTCAACGAGGCTCGTTAGTATGACGAATTTCAATTCTCGCTAGTGGATGCGCACTGCTGATGAGTCCCAAATATAGGACGAAACGGCCGTCCAGTGCTTTCTGCATTCTGTTGAGGTTTCTATCAGACTCGATGAATTAATTAATATATATATATATATATATATATATATATATATATATATATATATATATATGTGTGTGTGTGTGTGTGTGTGTGTGTGTGTGTGTAAGAGAACGAGAGAGAACTGTCCGGGTTTCAATTCTCGCTAGTGGATGCGCACTGCTGATGAGTCCCAAATATAGGACGAAACGGCCGTCCAGTGCTTTCTGCATTCTGTTGAGGTTTCTATCAGACTCGATGAATTTATTAATATATATATATATATATATATATGTGTGCGTGTGTGTGTGTGTGTGTGTGAGAGAGAGAGAGAGAGAACTGCCCAGGTTTCAATTCTCAGTAGTGGATGCGCACTGCTGATGAGTCCCAAATATAGGACGAAACGGCCGTCCAGTGTTTTCTGCATTCTGTTGAGGTTTCTATCAGACTCGATGAATTAATTAATATATATATATATATATATATATATATATATATGTGTGTGTGTGTGTGTGTGTGTGTGTGTGAGAGAGAGAGAAAGAGAGAGAGAACTGTCCGGGTTTCAATTCTCGCTAGTGGATGCGCACTGCTGATGAGTCCCAAATATAGGGCCAAACAACCATCCAGTGATTTCTGAATTCTGTTGAGGTTTCTTCTAGACTCGATAAATACTTAATTATAATATATATGATTTTTGTTTCTTTGTGCGTGTTGTTTAAAAATTTTAAAAGTTCATGATGCACGAAATTGTGGATATTATCTAACATAACATTAAAATGCCGCCTCCTGTAATGGAAAGTATTTTATACAGGTGATTTTTCTATTATAATACCTTTGAGTATATTTTTAGTTTTTCCTCGCGTTGAGTGCTGTATATATAGTATTTTAGTATTATCTACTAACATTTGCGTGTGTCCTTGGTTGTATTTTGGTTTGGTTTTGATTTGGTTTTGTATTTTGGCTGTTTTTGATGCGATCTTCAATATGTGCACGAAGTTTTGATAAATGGTTGTCGACGAGAGCGTGTAGTACTTGCGTGACCAATGTTAGAATTTAATGCTTGTTGACTTTCTATTTTGGAGATGCACTCTCCTATAAAACACGAGAAAACATCAAAAGCATTTTTTAGACATTGATAATTATTTGTTAGAGGTTTTAAACTTTTTTGTATTAAATTATAAATCTAAAGTATATTTTAAATCATTTATTAATATGTACCATGTATATTTTTATTTAATAGGCGTTTAATCTTGTTTTATATTTTAGGTTGATTATGAGAGAATAAGTTATATTTATTTATATCACGATGGTTTCTCGGGCTAATCTCTTCTAAAATACGAGGTATTTACTCTGTTTCCCCCACTAAGACGAGTTGTAACACAACGTCTTTTTTTAAGGTGGGGATCCCGAGCCCGTACACCCGGGCAAGGAACAAAAATTACCCGCAGCCACCTTGGTGAGAGGACTGATCCCTCTCTCTGGTGCATTGAGAGGGTGCGGCCTCGGGCAGCTGTTTCCCAGGGCTGGGTACCTCTCAGTATAATTTTTTCTCAGTAGCGACTCTGTCCTTTGACGGAGTCGTCCCTGGGCGCACTCTGCCCAAAGACAGAGACGCAACTGAGAGATGATAAATAAGCATGTTACAAACCCCTCGAGAGAGGGATTTACACACTTTTCTCCTAAAATACTATAAAGCTACTTTTGTTGAATGAATGTTAACTAGAAAGGCCCGTGAAAATTTCACGGTTTTCCTATTTAAATTTTCTGATGAATCTTAATTCTTAACACTTAAGTTAATGATTGAACAAGCTCATGGCGATATTTACGGTAAAATCTCTGTAGACATTCTCCCATCACATCGTTGAATATTTGAGCTTAACAACTTTAACAAAATATTGTAATAACAATGATAAATATGAATGTTTGATTTTAAGAAGTGGGAACAAATGAAAAGATTTCAAAGGACATTTTTTTTCATTTCAGTAAAACAACTGTTAAACAATTCCCTTCTTTCAATCTTTCTTTCTTTCTTGTTCTCACTGGAAGTAAATAGTGTCTTTTCCCCCTCTTTCCACGCGATCAAAATGGAATAGTCCATTATTTATGACGTATTGGTAGGAGACATTAAACACTTCTATCTTCCCATATTTCTTTCTTTCTTTCTTTCTTTTTTTCTTTCTTTCTTTATTTCATTCATTTTCTCACTGAAATAAATAGTGTCTTTTCCCCCTCTTTCCACGCGATCAAAACGGAATAGTCCATTATTTATGACGTATTGGCAGGAGACGTTAAACACTTTTATCTTCCCTTATTTTTTTCTTTCTCGCCAAAATCCCCGTCTTACGAACATTTCACTTAATAATAATTTAAAAATAATTCAGCAGACGATGTTTTTTTTAAAACTGGATTTTTGGTGATTGCTTTACATGTTTCCCGTAATTCGACACAGTGCCTCTGAAAAGGGTGCACGGTGTAGTAATGGCTAGCGACTCGGATTAAGGAATCGGAGAGCCGAGTTCGAATCCCAGCCGAATCCAATACATTCACTTACGTGCTAATATCCTTGGGAAAGGTATGAATCCTCTTCTTCTTCCGCTATGGGTTAATAGCCTTGGATGGCAACTGGTCTACCGCGGAAAGAAATGCGGGGGAAAATCTGCCTCGTCAGTCATGTATCGAAAGATACATGATCGCGTAAGATACATGATATTCCTAAGCGTGTATTATGCATGGCACATAACTGGCTGACTGCGTTAGAAAAATGCTCGTTTATTGTGGTTGCCATCGCTTCTCGGCCTTTTGGCTGAGATTCGATCACGGTGACGCCTAGCTTGGACCGGCTCGGGTCTGGACCAGTTATGAGAAGCCAAGACCAGCTATGACTAGCTTAGACCAGCTCTGACCAGCTTGGACAAGCTACGACCAGCTAAGACCAGCTTGGACCAGCGGCCCGAGTGAAAACACTCGGGTTCCCACGTTAAAAACCGACCTTGTGTCAAAACCTGACTCGGGGGTGGGGGTCAAGTAAATAAAGTAAATATTGGTATTTTGGCTGAGATCAAAGTGTAGTATCTGTTCATATCAGCTTAATCTAACTCTCTCTCTCTCCCTCTCTCTCTCTCCACTTCTACATTCCTGTCTTTCTTTTATTTTCTCAACGAAACCAAGTAATCTCTTGTTCCCTCTTTTGTATTATTTATGAGCAGACGTAACGGCCGTGCTAACTAACGAAAGGAGGGAGAAGCATGATTATAATAGGATAAGCGTTTGTTTTATGTTACCCAGTGCCTTAAAAAAGTGTATGTTTAAAAGAGAAAAAAACCTGCTGAATTTCATTTCGTGCATTAATATGAGACAGAAAGGTCTATTAAATGACTGTGAGCGCGGCATGGTCTTTAGACCTAAAGTACAGGTCTGAGTATCTAAAAAAAAACTACTGTGTTTTTTAGCGCAGATACAACGTTTATAGGCATACACGGGTGGATATAGGAATCGACACTGTATGGTGACTCCCAGTTTCATGCCTCTGTGCGGTATTCAGTGCCAATATTCACACTGAAGATAGCATTGGGATGTGAAACTGCAATTTTCAATTCCAAGCCTTTACACCAGCCGCACACCCAATCCTGCAGCAATGGGACTACAATGAAGGACGTCCCTAAGACAAATTTTAGCCACACTCACACTTGCAATCAGAGGTCCTGAAGATCTCGGCTCACAGCTACCTCACGTGGGAAATTAGGTTCTCGTACGATCACCGAAGTTAAGCAACGTCGAGCCTGGTAAGTACCAAGATGGGCGACTGCTTGGGAATACCAGGTGCTGTAAACTTGGGTGTGCAGGTGGTGTAATCGATAATGTCTCTGAATTTTTAATCAGAGAGCCGAGTTTCAATTCCCCTTGGGTTCATTATATTTACTTACGCGCAAATGCACTTGAGAAAGGTATGAATCCGACTCTTTCCCCGCCAGCTATGGGTTAAATAGTAAGATTCGTATCCTTAAAGCATTATTATATCCCTCCCACAAACAAAATCTTACAAAAAGTATTATAAATAAAAAAAAAACTGGATTGAAATAACCTGAAAAGGGTTGACAAGTCGTAAAAAAACAAATTTATCAGACAATAGTAAACACAGTAACTTTATATAGATGTTTTTTTTTGTTTTGTTTTGTTTTTTTTAGTCCGACATTATATATTACTAGCAGTAGAGCCCGGCGTTGTCCGGGGATGTAACAGTAAGAGATAGATCAAGTATCGACCATCATAAAGAATGAAAAATAAAATTGACAAAGATTATTGTTTAAGGTTGACGGACACGCATGTCTTAATTAGTTTTTTTTGTTTTGTTTTGTTTGTTTTGTTTTTTTTACGAATTGGTCAAACCCAAACTCAAACAAAAACATTGTTTTCAATTGTTATGAGTCTACCGATTGAATAGAATTTTATTATAAACAATTGTCTTGTAAATGGAATTTTTAAAGCATTCTGAATGTAAAAATAAAGAAAAAAGTGTGCAAGACAATAAGAAACAATACCTGCCAAAAAAAGTGAAGTTTTGTTGAAATCGGTTGAAAAATGTAGGAAATCCGATCCCATATATAAACGAACACACACACACACACAACCAACCAACCTGGGTTTTATAATAAGTATAACTCGATATGAGTTGTCCCCCTTACATGAATGCCTCTTAATCGTGTTTTCAAACTGATTTCGTGCAAAAACAATTGTATTTTTCCAATTTTTGGCACTGTCAGAACCACCGCAAGGTAATTTTACGTAGTCCTGTGAAGTTTTGTTGAAATCGGTTGAAAAATGTAGGAAATCCGATCCAATATATAAACGTACACACACACACACACACACACACACACACAATCTGCATTTTATAATATTTTTAGGGGATATGCGTGGTTAATTTGACAAGCTGAATTAATCAAAACCCTGAATGTATCAAGATGTGACCTTCGGGAGCACTCACTTCGCTACTGATGTCTCCATCAATCACCTCTATATTGAAAGAAAGAAAGAAAGAAAGAAAGAAAGAAAGAAAGACCGTTATCATTTTCTTTCTGTCTGTTTTTCTGTCGGTCTATGTGTCTCTCTCTCTCTCTCTCTCTGTCTCTGTCTGTCTCTCTCTCTCACTCTTTGTATCTCTCTCACTTTCTCTTTGTATCTCTCTGCATCCCTCTCTCTTTCTCTCTATCTCTCTTTCACTATTTCTTTGTATTTCTCTGAATCTCTCCTCCTCTCTTTCTATCTCTCACTCTTTCTTTGTATCTCTCTCACTCACTCTTTGTATCTTTCTGCATCTCTCTAACTCTTTCTATCTCTCTCTGCATCTTTCTGTCTCTCTCTCTCTCTCCCACTCACTCTTTCTATCTCTCTGCATCTTTCTCATTCTCTCTTTTTTTCTATATATATCTCTCTCTCTCTCACACACACTCTCTTTGTATCTCTCTGCATCTCCCTCTCTGTATATTTCTCTCTCACTCTTTCTGTCTCTCTCTGCCATCTCTTTCACTCTTTCTATCTCTCTCTCTCTCTCTCTCTCTCTCTTTGTATCTCTCTAAATCTTTGTCTCTCCCACACTCTTTCTCTGTATCTCCCTGGCTCTCTCTTTGTATCTCTCTGCATCGCTCTCTCTTACTCTCTCACGCCCTGTCTTTGTACCTCTCTACATCTCTCTCTCTCTCTCTCTCATTCTTTCTATCTCTCTCACCCTCTCTTTGCATGTTTGCATCTCTCTCTCTCTCACTCTTTCCCTGTATTTCTCTATCTCTCCCACTCTCGCTTCGTATCTCTCTACAGCTCTATCTCTCTGTATCTCTCTAACTCTCTTTTTGTATCTCTCTGCATCTCTCTCAATCTTTCTTTCTCTCACTCTTTCTGTCTCTCTCACTCTCTCTTTCTCTCTCTCTCTCTCACTCTTTCTGTCTCTCTCACTCTCTATTTCTATCTCTCTCTCACTCTCTGTCTCGCACTCTCTGTATCTCTCTAACTCTCTCTTTGTATCTCTCTCGCTCTTTCTTTCTCTCACTCTTTCTGTCTCTCTCACTCTCTCTTTCTCTCTCTCTCACACTCTTTCTGTCTCTCTCTCACTCTCTCTTTCTATCTCTCTCTCTCTCTGTCTAACACTTTCTGTATCTCTCTAGCTCGCTTTTTGTATCTCTCTGCATCTGTCTCGCTTTTTCTTTCTTTCACTCTTTCTGTCTCTCTCACTCTCTCTTTTTATCTCTCTCTCACTCTCTTTCTCGCACCCTCTGTATCTCTCTATCTCTCTCTCTCTCTGCATCTCTCTCAATCTTTCTTTCTCTCACTCTTTCTGTCTCTCTCACTCTCTCTTTTTATCTCTCTCTCACTCTCTGTCTCTCTCTCTCTCTCTCTCTCTCTCTCTCTCTCTCTAATGAATTCATATTTTGTCCATTGTTACTGCTCTCTCCGACTGATTCTCATCAATTCGTTATTGGCGATTAAAAGAGCCGAGTTAAGACTCCCGTTGTTTTGTCAAAGGATGCGTAAAACTGTCTTGCTTTTTCTTCACAGTCGGCAGAAGCCAATGAAAAGTCTTTTCTAATCGCCACTCGTTTGATATAAAAAGGAATTCAGGGCGATAAATGAAATGGCACGGACAGAGAGTAATGGGGGGGGGGTGATTTGGGTGTGACGTCTATGAAGCATTTACCCCTTATCTTGTCTGAACACGAAACCATTTTTATCTTTTTCTCTTTTCTTTCTTTCTTTTTTTTTCCCTTAATCATTATTTTTTTTTTTTCATTTTTATTCCTTCGTTTTGTCAAACCCAGAGAAAGATAAATCTATTTATTGTCACACACACAAGCATAAGAGTGTTCATATACACAAACCTGCTGTGCCCATCTTTATAAACCAACAATCGCATAGGTAAAAAAAAAAAAATTGTAATCAACAAAAGGTAAATCAACTGAAATCTTTATCTACAATTTTACATATGCGCTAAAAAAAACAAAAAAAAACACCGATATTCAGAAAACTTAAAACGATTACATGTTTACTTATTTTAGTGTACCATTTTACTTACAATTATCGTCACGTGACTCAAAACATCGTCAGTGCAATATTGAAACAAGGTAACTATAAACAATTAGCAATGTCGTTTTTATAGCCATCTGTTGCTTATATTCAATCATTGCAAAAGTTCGTGCCCGATTTTCATTGAGCTGTGGTATAACGGATAACGGAGATAACGGCGAGCCGAGTTCGAATTCCAGTGGAGTACATTACATTCACTTACGCGCAAATACCATTTGAAAGGTATGAATCCATCTCTTGTACCCCCAGGTGTGGGTTGAATAGCAGAAAATCCCGGATCCTATAGCCTTGGTTGGCAACCACTCCCTCTTCTGTTTAGTCAGTCATGGATCGGAAGAGATATGGTTGTCCAAATGTGTATCACGTATGGCACGTATTACTGATTGACTGAATGGGTCAGGAACTTTTGAAATTGTTTAATATTATCGGGGAAATTGTATGGCGAAGGGGAAAAAGTTTACTTGTGACGCGTTTCATCCTTCAGAACTTCATTGGACTTTGTCGTGTTGGTTGCACTACGCATGCGCACGACAGATGAGTGTTGGGAATTTTAGAATCATTTTTTTTTTTTTATCTAGCTGAATTCATTTAGTGTCTTTGCCTTTTTCTATCTCTCTTGTAAGTAGATATTCCACACTGTGGTATTGGGAATGGTGAAACGTAAAATCCCGGGCGAAATTTTACTGTAGATGATCTTGCAATTAAAGAACCCTCTAGTTATGTCATAGTGAATTATTTTCTTCCTAGATCAGAATAATTTTTTTTTTTTTTTTTTTTGGTAAAATTGTGGTCAGTCTCGTTATGGTGGGCAACCAACAAATTTGACGTATTATTTTGTACAATGCCCCTTTTATGTTCATATAATCTTTTATTTAGATTCGTTGAGGTTTCTCCTATGTATTTTTATTTTTTGTTTAGTATTGAGTATGTATTTTATTGTTTTGGATGTAATATTAACAGCTTTTATGTTGAGTTTAGATAAATCCTTTTCGATTTAAAATGTGAGCAGGATAATAGACATTTCTGAATCATTGGGTTTCTCAGAAGGGGCCATTTTTTGTTTGGTTTTGGAATATTTTATGGGACATTTCTTTCGCATTGAATATAAAATAATTAGGGTACTGTAGTAGGGTACTAATATCATTGCCAACTTAGAAGAGTGTTTTACAAATGCAACTATATTTAGATTATTTTGTAATTGCATTGGTCATATTTTCTTCCCTGAGTAATAAAAAGCATTTATCTGACAACCTAACACAATTGTCTCATTTACAGAAGCATTCTCCTTTTTATATCATTTAAAGTAAAAAGAGTTGAATGAAGCAAAGACGAAGCAACGAACTAAAGAAAGAATGTATTTGCAATATATGTATGCCGAGTGTATCTGCAAAATTGTCCAAATCGTGTAACAGCAAAATTGTCCAAGTCATGTAACAGCAAAATTGTCCAAGACGTGTAACAGCAAAATTGTCCAAGACGTGTAACAGCAAAATTGTTCAAGTCGTGTAACATCAAAATTGTCCAAGACGTGTAACAGCAAAATTGTTCAAGTCGTGTAACAGCAAAATTGTTCAAATCGTGTAACAGCAAAATTGTCCAAGTCATGTAACAGCAAAATTGTTCAAGTCGTGTAACAGCAAAATTGTCCAAATCGTGTAACAGCAAAATTGTCCAAGTCATGTAACAGCAAAATTGTTCAAGTCGTGTAACAGCAAAATTGTTCAAGTCGTGTAACATCAAAATTGTCCAAGACG